CCTTTTTTAGTAGAGGGTCGACATGCCGTAGAAGCAGAGGGTATTTGGAGCGGGTGTGTCCCCTAGAAATAGCTTTGGCTTGCCTTTTTCAGACTCCCAAAGGGGGGTTCCTTTGGTATCCTCAAAACAAGCCAGATAGAATCCAGCCAAATTGGGACTGTCGTCCGACAGTCCTCAGTCTCCTGCTAAAAGTGAATCATGTGTGGATTACATGGACACCCAGCCAAACCAACCAAATACAAAAACCCCACTGAAAACCCAAGTTGCACCGGACGATTTGCTTCGGAAACGCCAAGTTGATATTGTGCTTCGGAACTCTTGGTGAGTGTTTGGGCAACTTTCGGTAGAAAATCCCGAAGGCCATGACTTCCGCAAGGCCAGGACCATAACTGTTGGAAGATCTGTCCAACCCAAGTCGGGATGGGCGTGCAAGCGCCTGACTTTGTTTTTGTTGCCTTGGTTGCTGTTGACCCCCCTGCAAAAAGTGAATCACTTTATGGGGGTTTAGTGGAAAACCCCTGGATTTCCCAAAAAGTTAAAGTCTAAAGATCCAACCCAGTAGCAGTCAAGTTGCAGCCTACTGAATGTAAACAGAGCCGAAGAAACGGAAACAACTCTAAACACTCATGATCATAGGTGTCCTTTTTGGACAATCGACGGCCCTGGTTGATTGAACCACCAGGTAAACCACGGCCCTCTTTTTTCAAGCAAACAAAAACAAAAAGCACACCTAAAAAGTCCATGATCCAACTAAACATCCAAAACAAAAGACAAAAAAACACCTAAACATCCAAGCAACCAAACAAAAAAGACGGATCCAATGATTCCTTCATGATACAATATATATATATATATATATAATATATATATATATACATGCCTGGCACCCCGTATGGCTGTTTTTTTTTCGGTCAAACTCCCGTTTGGCCGTATTTGCCCATATGGCCATGATTTTTCGGCGTATGAAGCCCATATTTTTTCGACATGTTGTTGAAAAAAAAAGCGAAAAAAACATGTATGGCCATTTTTTTCGGTCAAAGGCGTATGACCAAAAAAAACGGCCATATGGGGTCCCAGGACGTGCACGTATATATATATATATATATATATATGTTTGTTTCTTTCTTTCTTTTTTACAAACAAAAAGAAGAACACAAAAGACAAACACACAAAAACACTCGCTTGCGCGCGCTTCAACCCCCCGCCGCGTTTTTCCGCCGCTCCCGCTCCCACCGAGTCCCCACTCGCGGACGCCTGCAGCTCCCGCTCCAGCTGCTCCCGGAGCTCCCGCTGCAGCTGCTGCTCCTGGCGCGGCAAGCCGCAAAAAAGCTGCGGGGGGAAGCGCGCGGCACGGCGAACAGGGCTCCCCAGATTTCCCCTAAAAACATCAGCTTTATGAAGGGAAGCTCACCTTAAATGGGCAAAAAAGGTGATGTTCAAATGCACCACAAAGGGACATATAGGGACCCCTGGCGAACGGAGAAAAGAACGACAAGCAGAAAAACCACATACCCCGCAACCTCCAAATGCTCGGTGATCTTTTTCAGGGTGTGGTTGGAAAAACCGATCGGGTTTCCAATGTAAACGTAGACAAACAAAACGCAGCAAAGATAGAAACAAACCATCCTTAAGAAAACCAACAAATATAAACAACATAAACAACATAAACTAGGTCCTCCAGTTTTGCAGGTTAGAATAACGGTACCATTGTTTTTCTTTTTTGTCTATTTTAGTAGGGAACCCTCCCAACCAAAAAAGGGTAAAAGGGCACTACTGGGGGACCTAGTAAACATCAACAAACAAAAAGCATCAAAGATAAGCAAACAAAACATACAACATGAAACCCTGAAAATCCTGAAAAACCAACAAACCAACAAATTTCTGTTTGGCCCCAAAAAAAAGGACATGATGGGTAATTGGAGGTTACAGGGGTAGCTGGACCTGAAAGAACTACCCATAGGGACATCACCAACCATCATTCGTTGCTATAAACCAATTTTCAAATTGGATTTCTGAGGAGGGTTCAGGTAACTTTTAGTGTGCGAAATTCGGACACTCCCCAACCACCTTTCACCAACTAACAACAAAGATGCTTTCTGGGACCGGATGGCTGGGAAGAAAGAGAATCCGGTCAGCTCAGTTTTGAAAGGTTGAGCATGGGAACTGCCCCCAAAAAGCCAGAAAATCCGGTTGATTCGCTTTGTGCTTTGCAGGGATCCTTATATTATACACCTGAACATTGCCTTGTAAATGGTGGGTTCCCTGTATTTTGGTTGACAAAGCCATGTTTCAAATGGGCAAAATGTATCTTTTAAGGAGCCCTGCTTTGTTTGGTGAATGCTCCGGGCTGCGAAAACTGCCTTTCCGCTTCCCTCCAAGAGACAAGAGATCGGTTGCCTTCGGTTGAAAAGTTGGTACCCCCTGTAACCATCCGAATCCTGAAATCGAGACACGCAAATGGCTCGTGCTGCAAAGGGGTCCAAATCCTCGCGTAACCCATTGGGGAACGTATCCGACCATCCCCCTACCATAAAGGGGGGGGGTTCCCAATTGAGGAAATCGGTTGCCATAAATGGAGATCTCCAGTCGAAAGCTCCCCAAACAAACCATTTAATACTCACCCGGTGAGGCTCCCTGCATATTCACTTCTCTCATGTGCTGGGTACGTTGGTTGTCATTAATTCCTTTTTCGCCTCCCACGGAGCCCGATCTCCCCATTCAAGTCTCCTGCTCCAAGTGCTGCTGTAGCTGCCACTGCAGCTCCGCCTGCTCAGCGAGCTGTTGCTGCAGCAGCTGCTCCTCGATTGCACTCGCTGGCGCGAGAGAGGCAGTTGGAAGGAGTTGGAATGACCCCTACCTGGAGTCTCCATGACCCTTAAAACATGGGGTCATTAACCAAAATAATGGGGTCATGGACCTATTTCTAAAGGGTCATGGAGACTCCAGGTAGAAACCTTTTCCTAGGGTTTTCTTTGAGGGAATCTCTAGGTTCATTTCCTCATTCCGTGCAGACCGCTAGCAAGTCAAACCGACCCAGATTCGACGGCAGGCGTTTGGCGGCTCGTCCGTCTATATGACAGAGGCGAATGCCGTCCTGCTTTCGGGGGGGGGGGGGGGGGCGGGGGGGGGGGGAAGGGGGGGGAAAACCGGGGGTGGCTTCTTCTTCTTCTTCTTCTTCTTCTTCTTCTTCTCCTTTCTTCCTTTCTTCCTTTCTTCCTTTCTTCCTTTCTTCCTTTCTTTCTTTCTTTTTTTTGGGGGGGTCTCCTATTTGAAACATACCCATATGTCAACTATATACATCACGTATTCTCTAGTGGTTGTGTATCCCAGTAAACCCTCTGGGAGTAGATGGTTTCACAGCTTTCTGGATAGCTGTGAGACTCCAAGTTCACTATACAGTTTTGCGGAATTGAAATGGTTTCTTTCCCAGGGAGTCCAAAGGCCGTTTCTTTACGGAGGCCGTTAAAATACGGAGGTTTTTTACGGCCTTTTTACGGGGTGATTAAATGTTTTTTACGGGCTTTTTTACGGGGTGTCTACGGCCGTTGACAAAAGGCCTAAGTTACTCAGGCCGAGGAAGCTCTGGGAAAATAGGTTCTAAAATGGGTGGTGAATTCGCCTACCAACCAAGATGGGATCCCAAAACGGTTTTGACAACCACATGGAGACTCCAGGTAGCTGGTTTTGGATATAGCTGAATGATTCGAACACCTCTTTCCGGAGGGAGGCTACGGACCAGGGATTCCCAGAGCTTCCTCGGCTTGAGTAACTTTGGCCTTTTGTCAACGGCCGGTTTCGACACCCCGCAAAAAACCCGTAGAAAGCCCGTAGACACCCCGTAAAAAGGCAACGTAAAAACCCCACCCGTGTTTAAACGGCCTCCGCAACTCAACGGCCTTTGGACTCCCTGGGATTCTACCGCCATACTGTGGATGGACGACATCCGTTCGCACCACTTTGAAACTATGAGGCTCGAGCCATTGTTCGTTGGTATTTACGTAGGGGAATCAACAGGGATCCTTACATTATACACCTGAACATTGCCTTGTAAATGGTGGGTTCCCTGTATTTTGGTGGAAAAAGCAACATGTTTCAAATGGGCAAAATGGAGATCTTTTAAGGAGCCCTGAAATCAACATTCCTACGGGTTTCTGAACGGTGCGAAATGGATTTCGCAACCATCCACCGTATTTCTGGGGGTCCCTTGGCTTGCCCGAGACATGGGATATCCCATGGATCGATACCGTCAGTCCTGCTCTTCGAGGCGCTGCCGCAACCTACCCGACATCTCTGCCCCAAAAAACCTCCAAATACCCGGGAGAAACGGATAACCTGTTTCTAGTTGGTATTGTTTGGGGGAAAACCGGTTTCGGTCTTTCAAGGTAAATACCTCTTTGTTTTAGTAGAAAACATCTCAAGCGAGACCATTGAAACCTTGATCGGGTTAATAGAACCACAGTGTTTACCTATGTACCTAACCCCTTACTCCCCCTACCCGTCCTTTCTTTAGTTGGTATCTTTTTGGAAAACCGGTTTCGGTTTTTCAAGGCAAATACCGATCCCTTTGTTAGTAGAGGGTCGACATGATACCAATGAAGTGGTTATTGCTGTCCATTTCCTCAGATGCCCAGCGGATTTCCCTGGGAAAAAAGATAATCGGCATCTTTTTGTTTGGGAAGGAATGACTTTAAAGGGGAACCCCTTCCCACAAAAATATGGAAAAAGGGCAACTGGGTTTCCAGTCTAAACCCAGGGATCCGAATCTTCCCAAAAATGACCTTCAGGGTTGCCGTGAATTGCACACCTACTTCCCCACATGCACCAATCAAGGAAACCAAAAAGGGTGTGTCACTTGCGGGGACCTTTTTCTTTGTGGTGTTGAACAGAAACTTAAAGGAGAACCACCATGTTGGGGGTTTGATAGGACTCCTTGCAATGGTGGTCAAAAGGGGATCCTGAACATCCGTACGAACCCCGGCCAGTCTTTTGACCAGCACAGGATTCTCTTGACAGAAAAAAAAGGCGTTACCCCCTTTGAGGTGGTGTTGAAGGGAAACCAAAATGAACGCCGCCGTTTTCGGGGTATCCTTATTTTGACACTGGCCCTACCCCTTGCTCCAAATACCTGCTTGTTGCAGGGTGGTGTTCCACGGTAACTACCTCTTTTTTTGGTAGAGGGTCGACATCATGCCCTAAAAAAAGTGGGTATTTGGAGTAGGGGGTAATGTGGGTGCGAAGTTGAACTGGACGTCACTTCGGGGTCTTCTGTCCATCCACTGGAAGGACATTCCGCGATAGAATTGATACCATGGGCTTGCCTCAAAATGGGATATTCTAGGGGTACCTTCCCCAGTCTTTCTAGAGATCCTTCTTTCAAGAAAACCTCCAGAATCCCAGGGAAAACTGAACAGCATGGGGAATCAAGCCCTAGACATATGGCACCTAAAACTTTAGGTCTCCTTTGTTTGGGTCTCCCCTTAAGTCGGAAAAGCTGGACCCTCAAACCCTTCAAAATGGGGGATTGCAACCAAAAAAATAGTGCTTTGCCTTTAGTTCTTTCGGGTCCAGTTGTCCTTGTTTCGGTGACCTACCAAATAATGTGGATGGACAAAAACCTGCACCAGATTGAAAGCATGGTTGAAACCCTAACGTTGCTTGGTGTTCACGTTGGGGAATCAAATTACTCCCACGGGTTTCTGAACTGGTGCGATTCCACCGAATGATTCGCAAGCATCCACAGAAAATCCGTCTCCAAAATCGAGCCGTCCTTTTGGGAGACCCAGCCAAAAAATCGCGCTTCGGCGTTTTCCGGGGCGGCCGTCCCCTAGGTCCTCCAGTTTTGGAGGTTAGAATCAGGGTACCCTTTTGTCTGTGTCTATTTTAGTCGGGGAACCCTCCCAACCAAAAAAAATGTAAAAGGACACCCAGCAGGGGAACCTAGATATAGTAGGCAACCCTTCGCTATTTCTTTTTGGGTATTTCAACGTGGAAAAACAACAAACTTCTGGTTCCAACCCCCCCCCAAAAAAAAACAAAAACAAAAAACTAAACAACAACAATCCCCCCCCCCAAAACCCCCCTCCCCAAAAAAAAAGAAACACGCCGGTGTCTGTCGGGGTATGGTTCGTTGGGGCCCCGCGCTCCGCCCTCCGCGCCAGGGCCTGCGTTTTGACAAGCTGCCATGCCCGGGCTTCGCACGGGCCCATGGGAGGGGTGGGGTGGGCGGGCTACTTTTCACCACCCATGATCTTCATCATCCAAAGTGTGTTTTGTTTTGTTGAGAGGGGGGGTTGAAAATTCATCATCCAAATTGTTTTTTTTCGTGCAATCATTCTTTTCATGGGGGTTGAAACACAGGGCATGGCTACAAGGCTGGGCTGTCCTTTTTCAGACCCCAGGAGCATTGCTCACTCTAGTCAAGTCTGGGCCATCAAGACATTTACCAGCTTTGGTTCTGTGAAAATCTGTTCTTGAGTCTTTTTTTTGGTGGTTGTCCATACCTGCTGTCGATTCTCAGATCCCCTGCTAAAAGTGCATAACTCGTGGGTGAACCTCGGAAACCCAACCAAGAAGCCAACCCAAAACCTTCAAACTTCAGGTTTTGGATGCCTCTGGGAACCACGTGACCAGAGACCAATCCAAACCGAGGGGTTTAGGATAGAACTTCCCCTGCAAAGGTTGATCAGCTTACTTGCGGTGTCCGTTTGCAAAAAGGGACATGGAGGAAGCCCTGACTGTGGACGGACAAACCGAAATCCATTTTTTTGGGGACCACTTTTGGTTGGTTTTGATAGGAAGCCAAAAGGAAAACCGAAATCCATTTTTGTGGTTACCCTGTGAACTAACTTGCTCCATCCGCCCCCGAGTCTAACGAGCGGTCATCGATGAACCAGCCACGATAACTCATTTGGGTTTGTCTTAAAATAGGCCACTCACAAATTCATGGCTGGTGCTCCCGATGGTTTCCTTTGAAACCAATCCCAAAGACGGTACTCCCAAAAAAAAGAGACACCCATTTTGCGACTTCACAAGGAAGCCGAAGGGTATGAAGGGGTACCCCTGCAAGATCTTTTCCCACCGTGCAGGTCCTTTTTCAGGTTGGAGCCCTACCCAAATGGAATTCTCGGATTTCCTGTTGGTTTCCGTTGAACACAGACCAAACAGCAGTAGCCTCAAAAAAGACAGACCCATATAGGAACTTGCTTGCTGACAGTGGCCAAAAGTAGAACCTTGGTGGCAAGCAACCCAACAGAGCACATTAGAACTTGGGTTTTTCACGGTAATCAACAGCAAAAGGCACCTGTGGGAGTCGGGGGGGGGTTGTGGCGCAATGGCGGTTGTTACAGGGGAGGTTGTAAGTTCAAGTCCTACCAGTCTCAGTCTTTAGTGGGATTTTAGATTGGAATTCTACCAGATGCGAACTGTAATCGTGGCCAGGCACATCCGCGCTATTTTTTGCCCCTTGTCTTAAAGGGACTTTTCCAAGCAAATGGAGGTGTG